CAAGGCCGCTGTCTTTCGAGGTATAGAGGGGATCTCCGGGCTAGGTGCTGGCCACCACTTCATGTGGGATAATACACCTTTGTAGCATTCAATTTATCTTTCAGTGGACCTCCGGCTTACACAACCTCATTTACAGCAACAGATTTATGCAGAGGAACAGAAAAAGACATTCCTATACGAAAAATATTTTGGTCACACTTAGAGCTATTTAAAATGAAGTGTCTTGGCCTCATGCTGGCAATTGGTTAATAATTCATATTATGGCCCCTAGTTAATCCTAGACACCCCCCTTCTGATTTGCATACAGGATCACAAAAAATGCAAGTATGATTTATCAGTTGCATAGGCAACACAACTGAGCCAATTCCACACTGACATCGATGAAAGATGATGTGTAAGAGTGGTAAGTGATATACATAGGCAAGAGAGATTTCTGTCTTGAGGTAACCCCCTGTAAAGTAATGCAGTTATCCATCTTACGCAAGATACTCAAGAAAAGAAATGTGCTGCAGTGCTATTGATTTATTTTAATTAGCAGCTCATTAAAATGTGTCAGTTTGTAAAACAAATATATAATTCTTAGTCTGATTTTACAGTTTAGTCTTAATGATTCGTGCACACTGCAAGCTTGAAGGAAAATTGGTTTCAGAGTAAATGTGGCACTACGAATGAAGACTTTTTTTTCCCCTTTTAGCAGATTGTTGAAAAAAGTAAATGGAAAAAAAAACGGAATCAAAACAGGTCACTGGAAGTTAGCGAAAGAGGGGTAAAATTTTTCCCAGAGAAGTGTTCTGAAAACTATGTAAACAGAATGGTGGTCTTAATGTCAGCATTCTTACTAGAACTTCCAAAATGATTTAGTTTCACTCTGCTTCACATCTGCAATAAATCAAATACAGGGTGAGGTAATATACTACGGCTTGTGTCTCTTGACTCATGTTTTAACTTAAAAAAGAAAGATCCCAGATATGAATAGCTAGAGGAAGTCTCACTGTGTTTTTCTCCTCCCCTTCTTTCAAGTAGCTTTGAAAGATCCCTTTTGATAGTTTATGATAAACCTCCTGATATGAACAATCTGATGCTATAGTTACAGTGCTTAGAAAATGACAATTTGCCCTTATTCTTTATTTACAATACATGGGATTAAAGCCAGGGTGAGCTGTAGAAGCTGCTTATCCATTTTAGTGGGTGATAATTGAGGAGAATTGTTGGTGCACTCACAGGTTTTCTATATGTATAAAATTGACAAATGTTATACATACAGTATGCAGGCTTTCTGAAAACAAAAACAGTAAATGCACTGCTTTTAGTAGTAGTAGTGGGATGACTGTTGAGCTTTATTGCTAAATCACTTTTTTTGTGGCAGACAAGGGATGGAACTTTTAAAAAAGAACAAGAGGAGCATTAGAAATAAATGGAATGAAGGATGCTTAGAAAATAATATTAACAGTTTGTAGTCATGCTCGGTTAAGATATTTTTTTCTGGTTCAAAATCCCTGCCAGAAGCTTGGCTGAGAATTTGCCCTGATAGTATGATGACAATAGGTGCAAATGCTTGATGGATAATATTAGTAAATCACATAAAGGGACTTTCTTTGTCTGGTTTTTAAGAAATAAGATTTGGAGTAATGGGCCTATTTTCTGGAAGCAGCATGTTAGTTTTTTTTTCTTTTTTCACAAACCTGTCAAACAACTGACCCTGCTTTTGATTGGCTTAGCTGGCTGAGAGGCTTTACTTTTGGCTGTGCTCCAAGTGACTATGGTTTGGCAAGAAGAATTCTTACGGAAGGAATGCTGACAACAGGAGTAAGTTACCAGGTGTGGCCTCAAGTCAGTTAACCAGAAACAAGCACTTTTCTGACTCAAACAAACAAAGAAGCAAAAGGCATACAACAATCTTGAGCAGTACAGATGGACGGTACAACACTGAATGCATTTTTCTCTTTGCAAAAATTTGCTTCACATTTTCCAAGTCCAAACAAACAACATGCTCCTCTAAAAGTGATATTCATGGGCAAAGAATATCCATCTCTACAAGTCCTTTTTTACTAGAACTGCATCTTTGAAATTTAGCACTTTGCAGAAAATGGGGAACAAATATTGTTCTACAGTGAAACAGCTGTGAAAATTACCCTTTATTTTTAAACATATCTCTTATCTTATATCTAACGCCAAAGACTGAGTTTTTACAAACATGGTTAAAGCATTTCAGATTTTGATTAAGAAACAGTTCAAGTAGTGTCTTACAGAATTTTATACCTTACTGTTACTGTATTATGTACTCCATAAAAGAATGTAGCTGTGAGTTTTGTCTAACATTGTGAACGTTGATACACTGACAGGCCTTCAGCAACCTGTGGTTTTTGGAAAAGTGCAAGCAGTCAGTGACTTTTTTAAAATGTGTTCAGCAGTACTGTAAAAGAAAAGAGTAAGCTGCATTTTAGGGTTCTCCAAGTGATGGGACCCTTTTTATATTCTCTAAATTGATTTTTAAACCCAAACACCACACATGAAGTGTTTTTTTGGGGTTTTGCTAAAGTAAACATTCTGATTAGTATCCACAGAAATGACCTCCAGCTGACCCCTTAACCTTGCCTTTAATTATTTGTTTGAAGACAGTATGGAGTTCTCATGCTGAGAAGCGGTGCAGCGAGGGGGGGACAATAATGCCAGGCAGCTCTCTGTGTGCAAGGGAATGTTAAAGGGGAGGCAGAGGGAGAGCAAAAGCTATAATAAAGAGCCTACCAGATGTAAATAATAAAAATGGTTGGAGTTAAAAAATAATTTTAGCTAGACTCCTTTCTTGTTCCTTAGCAGGCATAGAGAAAAAGAGAACAGAGGGGCAAAATGGGTATGTCTTTTGTGTGTGCTGTGATACAAGGCCACAGCATGCTTCATTCTCATCTCTGGAGCTTTGTTTTGTTGTTATAAGCACACACCATTAGCAGCTCATGGGAGGAGAGAAAACAGCCTTATCAGACTGGCTCTGATAATCTCAATTGGCTTTACTCTAGCTGATAAAAGACACTGTGAAGGCAAAAGTGGGTTTTGGTCAACTCCCACCGTGTTACTGTGGCAACTTGTTTAGAAAAGCAGTGAGGAAAATAAAAACATGTCTGCATGTGCTTTTTACAGAGTGGATTTACTCTTGTTGGGACAAGACGAATGTGTGGTAGTCATACACACTGCACTATATACTAAAATGTATAGTATCTGCATTTAGTTTTCTTTTTTAATGACTTTAGTACACATCCTTCATATGGGTATTTTACACAGATAAACTTTTCCAGGATACCTGTAGTTAAAAGAAAGGAAAAATGGTTGTTAATATCTTCCACTTATTAATGTATTTGTACAAGTAAGGAAATTCTCATTATTGCTTAATGGAAACTTGCAAACTCTTAGTGCATTGGAAGTACACTCTTGGTACACAGTAGTGTCCCATAATTGTCGAATAGGTAGAGAATACATTTTGAACTTATGTGTCAGGAAAAAAAACGTGTTTTGGCAGCCCTTGCACTTTAGACTTGCCCAGAAGCCGAAACAAGGAGTCTTTTTCTGTATTTACTTGCTCAGCTGGTTTTGATGCTAGAAGCTTCTTTTAACTGCACCTCAGGCAGGGTGACATTTCTGACAACAAAGGTAGATTAGAAAGCTTAAGATGTTTCTTTGGTCTCAAACTCCCCAAGAAGTTTTCTTTCATGTGTGCAACAAAAAAATGAGAATATGCAAAAATTAAGCTAAAATGTATCATTTCACACTCCTCCATTGATGTCTCCCAGTTTTTATTTTATCATATCTACCTTGATATTATATACAAGTTTTTTTCTTCCTTTTACTTTGTTTCATCCATTCTCCCTACTCCAGAGCTGCCAGTAGAGGAGATTTACTGGGAGACTGCAGTAAATGAGCTACGTTTTCTTTTCCCAACTGTGCCTTTTGTGAATTTGACCGTGTCGCATAAAAGAAGCAGATTATAGCAGTTTCAGTTAATAGGAAAAGAAGGTAAGGGCAGGTACTCAGGGTCTGGGATTAGAGACAAAATTAATTCCAGTCGTTTTCCATCTAATGACTGGTTTTGAAGGAGTGCCTATCAGAAAAAAATGGTAACAGTACCTGATTGAAAAAAGGTCTCTAATATCAAACATATGTTTGTACCTGTAGCATTTTCAGCATGTGTTAATATGTGAAAAGGGCGCCTCATGAAGTAGTGGCAAGCATGTCTTTTGACGAAGCCCTGGGCGTCCCATTCTTAGTTAAAAAGGTTGCCCCTGGCTGGCACTAACCTCTAAATGACCCCTGACTTTACAGTCAAAAACTGCAGGAGCTGTGAAGGCACAGGAGCCTTTGTGGACCAGCACTTATTTGCTGCTGTGGTGGTGATAAAACTTCAGACAGCCTAATTGATGGGCTTGCTGACATAACAATACCTTGTGAAAGCAGAGAGTGGCAAAGCCTGGTCCTCATTTATGGACAGCTGGAAGGGTAGCTGAACCCCCTACAATGAGAGGGAAAAAGAAAGAAGCCATCACAGGCTGCGAACTTTTAGCTTATTTTAATTTCTAAGGAGTGATAACTTGCAAATAACATGTTTACGTACATTAACTGTGTCTCGCTGTTGTGGGATGTTTTTTTTTTAAAGCAATGAAAAAGGGCCTAACTCCTCTGTCAAGAAACAGCCGGATTAAATGGCAACAACTTGGTCCACTAATGCCTCTGGAATTTCTCATCAGTATCCATGGTTACCACATGTAATCAAAACCTCTATTTAGCAAAAAAGAAGAGATCATAAGATGCATAAAAAGGATGTAGTGTTTCAACTCTCTTCTGTTGTGCTGTTATGTGTTTTAGCTTCTAAAGTAAACTTTGAAATAGTGCTTTATAACTCGAGGAGAAGCAAGCTACTAAATATAGCGCACAAAGCAAATTGTACACTATTTTTTTATTTAAGTTTATTCTATTTAAGTGATTACATTTATTTTTCTTTATCTTTTTTTCAGGTTTATCAATGCCAGAAGAAGAATAGTACAGCCCATGATTGACCAGTCAAATCGAGCAGGCAAGTCTCAAGTACTAATAGTTTTCCAGTCCCACAGGTGCAAATCTTCATCAAGTTTCTCATCAGGAGTCCCTTCACCTGGTAAATAAAAGCCCACCACAAACTGGAATTCTAGGAGCTGCCGTTTCCAATGTATCCCTTAACCATCCCCCCTCCCAGAATTCAGCTGTCAGAAGCAACTTACAAATTGGTGCTAACTGGAGATTTCCTAATCTAACTCAATGAAACTGAAGTCTTAGGGTCTCTCTCTTGTCCAATTGGTAATTGGGCACACAATTGCAGCCACAGCACTGATATGAATCACTTACACAGCTTATCTGCATTACAGCAGCCTGGGGTAGGTGCAAAGCTTGTCTATTATTATCCACAACTCCCTTGGTGATTTTGTTTTCTTACATATGCCATTACCTCTAGGTTGATCCTTTGTATTTTTCAATGACATTTACGTTGTTGCACCACATCCCTTTATTTCCTTAATACACGTAAATACAGACCTACACATGTGGTCATAATTATATATACACATACACTGTGTATATGTGCATATATCACCATTTTTGTATGCTTGATGAATGCTTTATACACCCATTGTTAATAGCTGCCTGCATTTTGCTGTTGCCCAACTCAAAAGTAAGTGGTTGGGTTAATAAAGAAAAGGTATGTTGAGTGTGTACAGAACTAGGAAAAAACGCTAAAATTTCAATGATGTACATGTGTTAAGTATTCTAATTGATTATGGCTGTTTAACTGTTCACTATTAGTCATGAAAACTAACACGTTAAAAAAGTATATAAAACATGTACAAGATTTTTCCCCCATTTTTTATCCTGCTTTTTGGAGAATTGTAGTACATTAGAAATTCAAAGCAATCTACAGTAGTTGTAAGGATTTCTGAAATTTCGTTAGTCGAGGAGCTCATTGAGGTGTCATGGTTTTTCATTTCATTGTGGGAGCAGGGAAGTGGACTCTCTTTGTGGACTTGATTGTGATTTGACCTGCTACTGTAAAACTTCTGTGTTGCTTTTCTTCTGGAAGGAAACAAAAAAGTTCTATTCTTTCTTTGTTTTCTCTGTGATTTTTTAATGTTAATATTTTGAGCTGGGAAAGAGGATAAATAAAAGTATGCTCACTTTGATGCGTAGCACAAACATTCTAAAATTAAACCTAATGATGAAAAGTGAA